GTTATAATTGGCAACCTAAAATGACTATAATTATAGTTGTTATAACCATAAAATAGTTGAAATTACCATAAAAATGGTTCAAGTGACTATAATTTTATGGTACTATAATAAAAATTTTTTTATTTGATTTAAAAAATTATTTTCAAATAAAAAAAATGACGTTCAAATCAAAGAAATTTTTTCTTTAATCGTATAGCAAAGAAACATTTCTTTGAATGAAAGAAACCTTTCTCTGGGTGTATTCAAATAAAAAAGTTACAAAAACATATTTTTCCTAAACTACTCGATTTTATTACGATCCATAAATATGAAAAGGATTAATTAAATAGGTTTATTTGACTATTATCCTTAATCTTCCGTTTCATCATTTTGTTAATGCAAATTATACGATAAATATAAAAAAAAATATTATGTTAAAAACTATATTTTTTTAAGTAATAATGATCTCACAACAATAATGGACAACTTTCGAATTTTTTACTTCCGCGAGCTAATGCGCGAACGGTCATTAACGCTGTCCTTAATTAAGTAAAGCTTCTCTGGTTGCTAGAGAAATGGCGGAAGCAGCAGTTTATACTGTGGCGATAAGGTGCGATCGTGACTAGGATATAATATTTTATGGAAAAAATAATCTTCCTTCGGTGGCGGTCGAGTACAGTCGAGTACTTACCCGAGTTCCCCCCTCGGTATTTCTCTTTGCATAAGATTTTACGGCGGATGCACGCATTACAGAATTTTTGTGAGACTACCGAACGGCAGACAAAAAGCGTCGTATTTTATGAAGCAAAGCCCCTTCGTCAGTGTTTAGTCAGAAAACACCTCTTCCGGTCTCTCAAAAACAATTCTTGTGCCTTCCAAGATGTTCTCATGAGAATATTCAGAATACATGATTAACAAAGCTCATATATCTAACAATTCAAAGTGTTTATGTAAAAAACACTTAGTTTCTTTGTCATATAACAATTGTCTGTTATACGATTATAAGAATAAACTTCCGAAAACGTTTCATGTCCAATTGCTATAAATTTTAGCAGAAACACTACTCGAAATAATGTCAAATGAATACCTTTAAAGATGTATTACACGTATTTTTTTTTAGTAAATAAAAGAAATATGAAGAAATCACAGATTTTTTGTATTTTAAAGTAATACAAAAAGATTTGACGGCGATGTAAAACCTGAATCAAAAATTATTTCTGCAAGACGTAGACATTTTTAAAAAATAATTAATATAAAATAAGAAAACTTTTATTTAAACTGTAATGTAAAATTGTATTGGTAAATATAAATATTAAACTGTTTAATATAGGGGAACCTGGGGTATAATGGTTATAGTTAGATTTTTTCAAGTTTTAAACATATTAAAGATAAATAAATCAACTTTGTTATATATTAAAATATTTTTTGAAGTATTTACTATAAGGAAAACTTAAGTTTTACTGCAAAAGTATAGATTAACAGGACGAAATTATTGTTTTGTGAGAGTGTGTCGTAACCTCACTATGTCATTTATGCAGGGCATAATGGGGCACCACAGGAAACTTGTCTATTTTTAAAAAATTAATATTGAACATTGCTTAAAAGTGACTTAGAACATAGAATATAAGTAACAATACATTGTTGCACTTTTAATTTTAAATTTTTTATTAATAATTGTATATGTGATGCTGAGTGATACATTATACAAGGTATACTTATATTGAACATAAATAAAAATGTTTAAGAAGATAACACAAATAAAATAATTCTCATTTTTATCTACACTTGCACATGAATCATAAACTCATTTTAAACATAAAATAACACCAGTACACCATTATGCCTCGAAGTACATAAATTTACTTTAGATAATATAAAATATCACAGATAATCAATATATTTGTATAGATTTTACTAAAGTAACAAGAAAAGATTATATAATAAGATAAATGTACTTATGACAATAAAAAATAAAATTTTGTTATTGCTTACCTTATGTGAACATACCAAAGAATCTGTAACTCATTCGCGGACAGTAAAGCGAACACATTAAAAAATTTTTAGCAATTTTCAGGTAAAAATAATATGACAACTAATAACAATATATAATAAGATACATCTAATAGTAACTATTGTCTGATAATTCATTACATATTAGCATATCTGTAAAAAGATTTCGAGTACATCCCATTATACGCCATGGTTTCATTATACCCCAGGTTCCCCTACGATATGCATGCGCAAATCATTTTTATTATCCTTATAGGACGTACTAATGCCACCAAAAAGAATAAAGTATTTGGTGATTGATCTGCAGTTAGTATATAGGATCTAATTGTGGAAAATTGTCATTACTTTATTTAATTAAGGTTAAAATACATAAAATGGTAATGAAATAGAATAAAATCATCCATATAATGTAATCTTTATAATCAATCATGACTATTAAATATTTTATTAATTGTTTGATATTGTTTTGGATAAAAATATGAATTTTTTTTTAAGAATGATCCACAATTAGTAGTTTTACTCTATTACTAGACATCATTTATGCAGATATTTTTTGCAGATATCAGGTTCATTTCTTTCCATCACATTGAGTTTTTCTATCAGCAGTCGATTTATAGTATAAGTCTGTGGGAATGTCTATATACACATATTATATTAAAACAGCTTGCGAAATAAGCACTACTCCTTCTCTATTACGTTATTTAAAGAGAAAAAATGAATAAGATAGACGCTTAATCACTGAGTTTAGTCTCGTGGAACAGTTCGGATCGGATGTTTCATATCGGACCAGGAATCATCTTTGAAAGTATCTCCGAATAAAGTGATAAACTCTTGAGCAATTTATAATATTAGGACACAAAACAATTAGAAATTTTTATTGGGACACGTTGAATTACAAAAACGTTATAATATTAACCAATTTGATTATATATATTTGATCAATAATGTTTGTTATTGTATTGCTATTACTTGTTTTTATATTATTGTATAACTATTATGTGCATTATGGAAAAACCGGACGATTCGTTAACCTAATACCAGGACCAATATGTTATCCAATTATTGGAAATGCATACCTATTATTCGGTTCACGAGGTAAGTTAAAATGTTTTATATATTTAAATAATTTTATTTTAATTAAAATGTTCCACGATGTATCATTCAATTATTAGTCCGTTTTAATCTTCGGTACATTGAATATCATAATTGTGTTACTCGATTTATCCAGGAACGACTATAATAATTAAAAGAATATATAAATTGGCATCCAATATATTTCGAGTAAATTAATATGTAATTCCTGAGTAAATTAATGTTTACTTTTGCACATATGTACATGCAAACATTCCACTTTAAAAAACATTAAGTATTTCCATTAATATTAAGAAACATTCGCTTGTTAATTATTTTCTACATAATAGTATTCATTTTTCGATTACTGAACTTTCTTGAGAAATGATAGAGTATATTAAATACATCATATTTTTGTATATTCAAACTTTTTTTATCGATTTTTATTAATGTTTATAAATTTACGTAACATATAAATAAAAATATTGTGTATGTGTATATACATATAAACATACATTTTTTTAGAAGTACTATGGAATCGTCTGATTACCTTTACTAATCGGTACTATCCCATTTGCAAATTTTGGATATTCTTTATACCCGTTATATCCATCCGTCATCCGGATGATCTGGAGGTAATGAAATATAAAAAAAATTTTATTCTCTCATTATTCCTACTATATTAGCGAATAAGATAATTTGTGTGTGTATGTTTTCTTTTATTTTGCAAAGACATATTTACTCGTAAAAATCGGACGGAATAAGAAATACAGACTACGGTAACAGAAACGACTGAACTGGCACACAATAGCTTCATTCATGACTATAATTTTATTTTTAACTTAAATACAATATATATTTTCGACTTTTTGAATAATTTGTATCCCCTGTGATAATTCTTCTCTTAGATTTTTTAATTATCTATCTATTCGTTCTATTTTCTTAAGTACACATTTATAACAGATCTTATAGTGTGATAACAACCCATATTTTATGCCTATTTTTTTCTTTTCTAATTACACTAACAAGAATCCAAATTGTGATTGTAACATTTTTTTTGCAACATCTAAATATTTATTAGTAGAATATTATACATATGTAATATTATACTAATAAATATTTAGATGCTCACATGGAACGCTAGAAATCCGGGTTCGACTCTCGGTCGACGTAATATTTTTCGCAATAAGAATATTTACGGATTGTAATATGCCATTTAGCATTATTAAAATCGTTCTAAGATGTACGTAAAAGCGTTAAATTGTTAAATTGTTAATCAATCTAACTCGTGATATTACTGTGTTTAGTATAATTTGCGTTTCAAGAAAAATCATTTCGGCGCACATTATCAAGAACTACGTAGTATATGTACAATATAAATTCACACAGAACTATACAAGCACTTAAGATCCAGCCAGATCGTTTAAGGCATTTGTTTCCTATAGATTGTATTTCTCACATATGTAGTCCCATGAGATTTACTGTTAAATATTTAGATATCACGCATCGATATCTGTGCGAGTTCATTTGGCTTTATTTCCTATTTCGTTTGATTTATTCTCAGAGCCTTACTTACATTGTTATTTGCTCGTAAAATATTTATTAGAAGCAATTGAATATTTAAAATACTTTCGAAATTCATTGCAATTTTAGACAACCAATAATAATAAAATCGAAGTTTAAATTTTTGGCTCGTAGCCCTTCGATTTTATTATTATTGATTTGAAATTATTAGACCATTTTCTTACTTTTAAATTTTAGACAATACTAAGCAACCCGAAACAAATAAAAAAGAGTTTTATTTATGATAATTTCAAACCCTGGCTCAGAGCTGGTCTTCTCATTAGTAAAGGTAATGACATTAATACAAATAAGAATGAATGTTTTACTATTAAGTTTCGTTTTGACTATCAAGTTTTCATTATATTGATAATAAAATAAATTTGTAACGTAAATAAATTTAATTCAAAATTAAATTAAAAGATTGAACCTCATTTATTTCAATACTTATTTCTAATCGTCATTTCACAATTGTACATTGCGTTGTTCATGTTTTAGGTGCCAAATGGCATTCACGGCGAAAGATATTAACTTCTACACTTCATTTTAATATACTGCAACGGTTTGTTGAGATTTTGGACAAAGGAAGCAAAAATATGATAAAGTCCTTGAAAAAAGCAGAAGGCACAGTTGTAAAAGATTTATCACCATTTATTAGTGAACATACACTGAATGCAATATGTGGTATTACCAAATTATACTAAATTTTCTTAATAATAACGAACATGAATTCACAACTACACAGAATTTTATCTCCATCAACGAATAATACACAACATACACGACATTGTATCGATCAATGTGTAATTTTTGCAGCCGTAGATATTCTTGAAATATGCATACACACATATGTGTGCGCGCGCGCGCGTGCGTGCGTGCGTATTCCAAAAATATCTACGGCTGCAAAAGTTACGTATTGATCGATACAGTGTTGTGTACTTGTGTATAGATATTGTGAATTAAATACATACGTATATATTATATGTATATATGTATTATATATGATAATGTCATCATATTATTTTCACAAATGCCTTTGCAGAAACTTCTATGGGCACTTCTCTAAAAGATCTCGGTGAGTTCCAACAACAGTATCGAAAAGCAATTCACCAAATGGGCGAGCTTTTTATTTATAGGTAATTTAGGAACATGATAAATAATATATTTTTCATTCTATATTATTTAATGTATACCTACCTTAACATTTTATATCAAGATAAATAATATTTAATGTAAAACGTAGTTAGTAATCAGAAATTTGCACATAACACGTTATTAATTTACGCATAATAAATTATAATCACTTCAATTGTACATTTAAAAATAAATATTGCTTAAAGCCTTTCAAATTTTAAACGCTAAAGTATCACGGAAAAAAATAATGCACAATTCAGTGTAAAGATGGATATATTTTTATGTTAAGATTGAATAATTATAAAAGTTGTATACATAGTAAAAAAAGTTTGTGTGTATTTGTGTTGGAAACGGTACACTCACGTTTGTGTTAACAGTTTGTGTTGAATTTTCTGACATATTCGAGTGTTAATTTAACATAATGTGATTATGTTATTTAAAGATTTTTTGTAAAATTGATATTCAACGTTTCTTAGTGCCAAAATGACATAATTTATAAGTAAGTGAACAAATAACATAAAAATAATGTGTTTTAAAACGTAAATTCTAAGGCAAATGAATGAAATATGTGTTATAATGATTTAACATATCATAAATGTTAATTTTCTGAAAAAAATATGTTCCCACGGTTCGTTTACAAACTGTGTCGATGTTATCTTTCTTTGTATTTATTCTCTTATATAATATTTAAGTTACTTTCTAATATATATTCATTTTGTGTAAAATTAACTGAAAAATTTGAGTGGACCGTTTGGGACATGCGATTTATGTTAAATTCAACACATTTTTTCCAACTGTGTATTTATTGTGCATATACGATTTTACAAATCTTTTTAGTATAATTTTATTATTGTGCTAAATTAAGTTTTTATATAGTTATTAAAATATTTCTAATTCTATATGTTTATGGAGAAATTAAAGGAAGCTTTTACAAAAACAATACTATCATATATCTAAAATAGCATGCCTATTATTTAGTAACTGTATGGTAATGTTTAGATTTACAAGACCGTGGCTGCGCTTTGACTGGATATTCTCATTGACGCCAAAAGGCAGAGAACAAGCGAAGGTTCTAAAAATATTGCATGGATTTACTGAACGAGTACGTTAAAATGCTACTTATGTATATGCTAATATGGTATTTAAACATGATCTATTTTGAGAAGTAGTGATAATGACTTTATACATAGAAATATTGCAAGATAAATCATAAATGTTGACACACATTTATGTAAATCATAGAAAAACCATTAATGTTGTATTTACGTAGATTATTGCCGAAAGAAAACTTTACCATGAACAAACTAATGGTCAATATTTGAAAAGCTTTGACAATGATATATCAGCAGAAGAAGATGACGCAAAAACGATTGGAAGTACGTAATATAATCAGAAGATATTCGTTAAACTTAGTATTATAAATTATATTTTACGATTAAAATGATGTTCTAAAAATATCACGCTCATATATTTCGATTTAGCGCGAAGAAAGGAGCTTGCAATGTTGGATCTTCTCATAGCGACATCTCATGAAGGTCTCATGACTGATTTAGATATTAGGGAGGAAATTGACACTTTTATGTTCGGGGTATATATTTGTAATTTCTTGTGGTTTTTTAAATACAACATTTAGTATACTAATGTTTATAATATGTTTATAATGTGGTAGGGCCATGATACTACATCGTCAAGTTTATGCTTCATTTTGGCATTATTAGCTGAACACAAGGACATTCAGGTATTTATCGTCAAATACAAGCTGCCACTCTTAGACAAAGAAATTAATTAATTCACTAACTCCAGAAGTTATTTATATTAAATTAAATGATTAGATGCGTTGATGTAAAGGAATTGCCAAAATTATTATTTATTAAAACTGTATCAATATTAAATATTTTAATTGTCTTTTTAAGCGCGCGCGTGTGTGTGTGTGTGTGTGTGTACGCGCGTGCACACAATTCGCTTTCCTATGTTAAATATTCAGTATACAAATAATATACACACGTACACATACACATATGCAGTTGATTTGTATCCATGTATAAATACACTTATAAATAAGAAATTATTTTTTAATTATTAATTAAAGTATTTTTTAATTATTAATGATACAGGATCGTGTCAGAAACGAAGTCGACATTGCTATGCAAGAGAATGAAGATAAATTAACTATGTAATTTTTGCATCAACTATCATATTTAGAAAGATGTATAAAAGAAGCGTTGCGCTTGCATAATGTCGTATTTTTTATATCACGCGTATGTGAAGAAGATGTAAAACTACGTACGTATTAAATCAAACTCTTGTATTTTTAAATTTATTTTATTTTTAAATATATTATTCAGTACCTTAGATAATAGCAAAGTAATGTTTTGAAAATATTGCTACTAGATTTAGTTTTGTAGATATAAAGAGCTAATATAAAGATTCTCATTTCAAAAATTCAAAAATTTCTGTGTTTTTATTGATAACGCTTATACATACATCCAAAATAAAATACTTCAAATATAAAAGTTTACTTTGTATAACAGCATAAACTATTTTCAAAAAACTAATATTATTTAATATATTTAAATAATTATTACATTTTTATTAAACAAATTTGTAGGCACTTATTCCTGTTTTGTATTAAATATATAGATACTCAATTTAAATTTCCTTATAACGTCTTTAATTATTTATAAATTTTATTTTATAATATGCTTTTTAGAGTCATATTTAGTACCTGCTGGAACCACCCTGCATCTTGATATTAACGGAATTCACAGAGATCCCAATTTTTGGCCAAATCCAGAGGTATTTGATCCTGATAGATTTTTGCCCGAGAAGATCCGAAATCGTCACCCTTACTCATATATACCATTCAGTGCTGGACCACGTAATTGTATCGGTAAGCTATAATCTTTTATACTCTTTTATATAAACAAATTGCAACAAATATTAAATTATAGGACAACGATATGCTATGTTGCAAATGAAGATGATAGCAGCTTCTTTGATTCATCATTTCTACTTGGAACCCGTTGATTATATAAAGGATGTTCGGCTGCAGATTGAGATCGTAATACATCCTCATCCACTTCGTGTACGATTTGTTCCAGTTTTGCAAAATTAATACAAACAAAAACAGAAACAAATCGTCGTTTCCATGTGGATACTTTGAGTTTTTTTACTTTTTTTTTAAAAGTAGGAAGTAAGGAGGAGCCTACTAGAGGAGCCTCCTACAGGAGATCATAATTTTTCCTGTTTCACAAAAAATTGTGTAGTAATTTTTGTAATGTAAACTTGTTTTAAAATAATTAAATGTTAAAATGCATACAAATGACTTATCTATGAAGAAACTAACTTAAAAAATTATTTAAACATAAATGGAGATGCAGCTCATTACGGATACCCCATATACGAATGCCACACTCAGAGAAAAAAGTCGTATCAGTAACTATAAATTTGTAGTGAAATAGCGCCTCAACTATATACATATTATTAAATTCTAATAAGAATACTAGATTAAGTGAACTAAGAAAATATAGTACATTAACCATATAAACAATTTATAAATGGTTAATATTACTATATTTTCTTAGTTCACTTAATTTATTTATTGTTGTTATTAAAGTAGGCAGTCCGTCAGCCCTCCCACCCATTAAAAATAATTGATTTGAAAAATTAAATACTGACTGACTGCCTACTCAGCCCCCCCACAAAAATTTTTTTTTAGCTAAACGGAAGGAGCGCAAAAATTTTTGTTTGCGGATATAAATAGCGCATAAATAGCGCATTATTACATAATTTTTTCATTAAGATTTGGTTAGGTGGGGGGGCCAGCTAGACAGACGTATTATGCAGAATAAAAAAGGGGGAGAGAACGCGGAAACTTGAGCAATTCAAAATGCAAACATAATTATTATATATTTATATATATAATTATATATTTTATAATATTTTATAATAATAATAATATTTGATAATATTACAATTGATAATATACATTTGATAATAATTAATTGATAATAATTGGAATAATCACGGCGCTGCATTAAAACCATTATTGGTCAAATATTGGCATGATCAGACAACCATTAATGACCCAACATTGTTTATCACGTTCGGCATTATAGTTACCCATTATCGGGCCGAAGTTATCATCCCATAGTATTCTCATTAGTGAGCCAGTCATAGTCACCATTATCGCACCAATTTAGGTCACCTGATAACCAATCTTGGGCCAGTATCAGACCAATAGTAAAATCCTATATGGGACATATCGATAGATATAAATACTAACTGGATAAATACTACTCCAGTAATATAACTACTACCATATAACTACTACTCCATAAATACTACTGGATATAAATACTAAAGAAAGATGTGCGTAATTCGTTCTACAAATATATTATTATCCTTGAAGAAACATCATCTCAAGAAACACCCCCTGTTGGAACTGTCATCATGGCAAGCGCACGCGACATAAACGGCGTTTATAATTTCGCAACTGCGTACATTTTACAAGCATTTCGACGTCGCTTACGTTCCGCGCAGAATTTTTCCTTCGCGCGGTATCTACCGAAACGGCGACACGCACGATAATAGCGCGAACTTATCCGTGACGGAGATTTATTCACTTATTTGCGAATTTCTCTCCGGGAAAACCGGCGACATTGACGCGAACCGAAGGCTACATGTCTGGCAGTTGATTATTTCCAAGGATACGTTGAAGGTGGATGTGCCGAGTTTTTTTGTATCTCTCTTCTGTATCTCTGTGCTTGGATTCGCGCGAAAACGTCCCCGTAGTCCCGGGATAGGACCTTCGGTCCGACCTCTCGACATCGAGAAACAGCTTCGAGAAGGAAAGATTCATCATGCGCATGCAGCATTGTCGTCCCCTTTGATTCGATAATAATTATTGACCTTGCGGCGAAAAAAAATATTCGCAGAAATACTAATAGACCGCGAGACAATACCGTCAGAGCGATTGATGTATATATGCTTTGTCTCGCACCGCCAACGTTCACTAATTAGCTCTCGGCGCGTCAGTCTAGCGAGGAAGATATTCGCGTGATTCATTTATTTTTCCTTTAATTAAGAGAAATAAATAAAAAATAAACTTGAACTTTCGTTATCCTGTTCCGTCCTTATCAAATAGGATCGCACTCTCACAAGAAAGTGATACAAATCAAATTTTTCGAATCTCATATTATGTACGAATTGCGTTTTAAATATATTGATCTTCTCAGAAAAAGTGGTACAAATTGAATTCAAATATTTCCCAAAAAAATAATACAAGGAAAACAATATAGGTAAATCGAAATAAGGATAGTTTTAAGTGGTCACATAATAAAATTTTAATATCTACATTACTTTTAGAGAACTTAAAACAAGCAATTTGTAATTAGCTATAAGTTAACTTATATTTAATATTGCCCTAATAATTAATTTTAATGTACGCAATTTTTTTCCTCTCTCCTGAACAATTTTATATTTATTTTATTTGTATCATTTTTTATGCAGAAAGGATGGTTTTGTTGAAAGATCTAAAATTTTACTGGATATATATATACAGATCCAAAAATAATTTTATTAGATCATCAAAATAATATGATCAAAATAGAAGATAATACCCGTGAAAGATTAAAAAGCTTTATTTAACTTCACTTTTCTTATCTTATATTATAACAAAGAATAATTATACATTAATTGACGGGCAATTGAGAGCAAACCGACGCAGTTATTCGTGCGTAATAATTAACAAATGTATTATTCGAGATCTTACGTAAAAATCAACAAAATTGGATGTTTCGGTTCCGTTCGAACCATTATCACCGATGTCCAAAAATTAATCGTAACGATTAGGTCCAAAAGAGCAGCTGAAGAGCTCTTTAATTCCACATTTGAGAAGCTTTGTTAATTACTTATATTATAAATTTGATTACATCTTGCTTTTATGTTTCCACATTTCATCACTCATGAAAACGTATGTATATAAATATATAATATATAAACGTATACGATTGTTTACAGTGTACTGAGCTCAGATCCATGAATTTACTAACAATAAGCCTAAATGACTGTGCGGATCAGTCATCCCTTGCAGAAGCATGACCAATTGAAGGAGAAAAAAATCACACGCCGTGTTTATGACAAAAGAGAAAATGATTCTGCATACGGAAAATGCACTTTCTAGCGAGGTGCGAGCATAAGATCGATAATGCCGCGTTTGGGAGACAGGTGCCTTTTACGAGAGACGTAATTGCGCCATCGCTGATTTTTCTCTCGATGACGTGTTCGAGGCCGAAACGGAATTACAATCAAAGTGGTAACGTCCATGCCATGCCATATATATAATTTGATCATTACAGAGACGGAGAAACGCGTTCATAACATCATGTTCCTTATGCATCACTAACGCTGACATTTAGATTCACGTATAAACGTAAATCAAGACAATTACAAGAGTCAAGATCTTATTTGCGTTACCGGTTTCACACCTTTGTGAATTAACGTCACGTTGCATGAGAATGTGAATCAAGTCTTAAAAATGAGGAACACATTAACTGACAGCGGTAGCACTATATCATCACAAATTTAATATCACGCGTGTAGCGACTTCGTTATCGCGCCGATGAGGACCGTAAACATCCGCAAACGATCTTGGCATTTACGAAAACATACTGCCTTATCAGTAACATAGACATTTATTTTAAGATAAATGCAAATGTTAGCAAGAATCTTGAATCTCCTCGTTTCCCTACTCGTTAACCCGGTTATGGTAAATCACGTAGTTAGCGTATATATTTCTGTTCAACTATATTTCTTCTTTGTAGACATTATCAGTGCGCAGTTAATGAGTTTTAAAATTTTAGAATATGGAAACGTACGTTCACAGCGCCAAACAAATCGAGTAGGCAGAGAAATTAGGCGAGTAATTATTGCCACGAATTATCATCCCAAAAAGCCATAAAATTGTCAACAACGTCGAGGATATAGTTTCGAAAGTTTTTTTTGTCTATATCGAATTTTCAGACGATTCGCCGTCTCGTTGCGTACAATGTAAATTCTAATTAGCATCTTCTAATTACGCTATTTTCGAGACACTTAACGCAAGCATAATCTCAATATACTGATATGATATTGCGCATTACAAGGCGCGCCGTTCTTAAATAAACGCAATATATTCACTTGTGAGACTTTAAAATTGCCATTACTACGTGAGTCGCAAATAGCGGGAAGGTTGCGAATAAAGATCCACTTAATTGCAACGCCGCAGTTGTGTGCCTACGTAGTTGCACCGAGATGCATTCTTCAAGCCGAAGAAATCGCAATATCAAATTCGAATGGCTCGCATGTACGGCAACAGTAACACTACACCATTGATGGCGTCAAAAAAATACGAAAATAATGATCAAAAACGACAAAAATTCAAAGAGAGTAACAACAACTCTTTGACAGAAATAAATGAAAAAGAGAGCCATTCAGTTAAAGTGGATCTCGGTATCTACAATTAAAAAGAATGGTTTTATTGATATATATTTAAAGATTTAGCTAGATATATATTATACAAATCTGAATATAATTTTGTAGAATTATTAAAATAATTATGTACGCTCAGGCTGGTTGTTAAAATGTCAAAAAATTTTTTTGCAACATCATTCATCAATTATTTGAATTCCTTATATAAATATTTTGATGGTTCAACAGAATTATTTTGAGATCTATAACTATCCAAATTTTTGAACATTTCAGCAAAATCATTATTTTCGTGCAATATTATCAATGGGATGATATTTTTTGCAATAAATTCTTTACAATAATTTAAAGTGCTTCTTCGTATCATTAAATTGCTTGTTAATTTAATTTAACATTACGTACTCCAGATTCAATTTAGAACTGTGTTGCAAAATCCACGATAACACTATTTTCTGTTTCTCAACATATGTATAAACGATGATTTATATATGTATATATTTTTAGATACTGGAAAAAATATAAGGTTGTATCACTAACAGACTTTGAGAAATCAAAGACTTTATTTTTGAAAAAACTGCCTTGAATAATTTACACCTTTTTCTTTTACGGAGTAGAATACATATAAAAATCATCATTTAGTTGATAAACAGAAACCTTGTAAATCTA